ACCTGAAACCCTAGTAATCAACTAACAAACAAAAAAAAAGAGTTGGATTGGAATTCAAAAAAGTGCATAGATAGACTTGGCACATGGCTGATCTTGGTGGAGTATACATGAGATTGGTGACAACTTGGAGCTTCCTCTACTAATGGGCGTGATGAGGGGATTTGTCTCCTTGGACTGAGGGGCAAGAATCCATTCAACACAAGCTTTGCCCTCGGAAAGAGGTCTTCTTTATCCTAGAGGCGAATGATCTTTTAGCTTCCCTTGTTATCCTTCATTGGTCATTGTTCTTTTACACTAGATTCTTAGTCTTGACTATTTTATTTTATGACACTAGATGTAATTTGATCTCAATTTATAAATTAAAATTTTATTCAATTTAGTTACACATGTAATTGTTTATATGAGATTAGTGGCTCTGCATGTAAAAAAACTTTCCACGAGAGCTGGCTCATGAGAAATTTTTTACATGGGGAGTCGTTAACCCCATATATAGAGTAAAATGTTTCACTACTCATCCAACTTGGTCAAGGTTTATTCATCAAACTTCAAAGTGCATTTCATTGGTTACTCATCTTTGAGATATTGTAATCCATCCATCATCTTCCTAATTCCATTTTCCTTGTTATTGTCATGTCTGATAGAAAACCCTTGTGGCATTTGTGGGCGCTAAAAATGACTACTTAGCCAAATCATGTCATAAGATATTTTATTACTCACCCAACTTATATTATGATCAAGGTTTACTCATCAAACTTTAAACTGATTCCAACTAGTCATTCATCTTTAAGATATTGTATTTCATCCATCATTCGCCAAATTTAGGATTTCGTAGATCATGCATTTTTTCTTGGTTAGGCAATGTTTTTCAACCATATCAATCTGTTTATACCTCGGATGCAAAGGAGGGTTGATCCATGCAAAAAAAAAAATGTGTGCAAGGATGAATATGTATATATAAGTTGTATTTATAGAGAAAAATGGGACAGTAGAGGGATTGTCTCTCCCGTGCCTCGTCCGTCGTTGCCATTTCTAAATATGAAGCATGAACGAGGGAATTTAGGAAAAGAAAAAGAAATAATGGGTTCATAGGTTAAGAAATGAAAGGAACAATAAAAGTTGATACTTGAGGGATATTATAGTCATTTCTCATGTTTACAGCTATTATATGTTTTATTAGCATTAACGTCCTGAAGTGGTTCTGTGATTGTTTTTTTTTTTTTTTTGATATCCAGGTATCCTAGCTAACACCAGACTATGTCCTGGACCACCCATCACCGGCCCCTCAGTGATGGGTGGAGGTTAATTGCGCGATATGCCCAAATTGACCAGGATTTGTGTACCCTTCATACTCCTGGCCCCAAGGGAGTCTTCCTCCATGGATATTACATCACTAAATTGCTCCACCCAAATTGAGTATTACAACACTCAGCTGCTCCATTCAGGAATCGAACTCCCCACCCTGAGGTTGCAAGCCCAACAATGCCCATCCTTTACCAACTTGGATTTGCCCCGGGGGGCAATGGTTCTGTGATTGTTGATCGTATATTTTGATGTAACTGGTTATTCCTTACCTCGTGCCCAAATTGATTACTGGCGGTGAAAATTATAGTGGTTGCATCTGAAGCCTTTCCAATAATATGAGCATTTGGTAGAAATATTGCTCAGAAATGCTATTGTGGGACAATCCACTTTAACTCATTTTATAGTTTACATACTTTTGTATTGTCACTTCTTACTACTATATATATTTATGTTAGGCTATGTTTGATAGCCAACATTTTCCTTGGAAAATGGAAAAAAAGTTCCATTTCCAC